GTATGAATTTTCACTTTTCACTACTTCAATTTCCTTTTGGTTACTCGGTAGACGGTAGTAGAGTAGTAGACACACAGTATTACTCAATGTCTCAACTCTCAACTAAAGATGGCACTACAACCCAGCATGAAAAAAGCACGGCCTGACACGCATGTTATTGTGTGTGTCGGGCCTAGGCCGCCTTTATTTGGAAGAAGCACGATAAGAGATGGCGCAACAAATGACGCTAAAATCAATGAAAACTAGATTTATGTTTAATAATTTACAACAAAAGTTTAATATTTTTTTTTTTGCTATAATTTATAATGAATTTATTAAATATAAATAAATTGTAAATATGATATTTTTTCCGTTATATAAAATCTTTAATGTGAAACGATAAATTTTTAATAATTTAAAATCTAAATCATTATTCATTGTTTTACCATATCTTTTATTTCAATAGAATTACCAACCTCGTCCACAACCAACCTACTACATCAATGGATAAAAATGTTAGCCAAACTGAAATTGATATAAATTAAATCTTTACATTTATATAAGAAAAATCAATATATTTACCAATAAATGAAAAATTGTTGCGATATAAAATCAAATCTATGCATTGAAATTTTTTCATCATCTCTAAAAATAACCAAAGTCATCCATATATTAAGTATATAACATTAAATCGTATGCCATTACATAAACAAATAATTGTTAAGTATCCTAAATAAATACAATGTAACTAATAATAATAAATATAAATTTAAACATAAGATTTTAAAAATTACCCGTACATTGATGACCTAAAACTAACACAAAATTACTAACACAAAATTCGCTTGATGGGGTATTGTATTGATATGAAATTTTATTTGTGTCGTATGATGTGTTAGATCTGCATATAAAAAAACATTTAGTAAATAAAACATAAACATATAATCGTTGAGTATCCCAAATTAATACAATGTAAGTAATAATTAGAAATACTAATTTAAACATAGGATTTTAAAAATTAAGCTAAAAATTACCCGACCATTGATGACCAAAAATTAACACAAAATTAATAACACAAAATTCGCTTGATGGGGTTTTCTATTGATACAAAATTTTGTTTGTATCGTATGATGTGTCAATTTAGAATGGCTGGTATCACAAATTTTAATTTAATTATAATTAATGAACAATTTGTATTTCTTATCATAAATACTATCAAAATTTATCTTATATGATTGGTTTCAAACTTTATTATAAGCGTTTATCATTTTAATATTTTTTAGTATATTTTTTTTGGATTTCTTATACTCGTAGTATTGAATTAATAAATTTATCTTTTCCTTATATTTTTACTTTATTTTTTTCATTAAAATAATTTAATTCGTGGATTTTAATCTACGCGGCATTAAAATTTTAGATATATCAAATATAATTCGTTACTTTTATCTAGGTGACGATGCACGGTTTTTATTTTTCATACATAAATCTCAAGAAAAGATATTTTCCTATACACTTTAAGTTTATATATATATATATATATATATGATTTATTTTACTATTTAATAATTTTTGATGAAAAAAACACATAATAATTTAATTAAAGTGTTATTGCCTATTACAATAGTATAATTTTTTTTAATGTAATTTATTATGCGACTTTATTTATTGTTGTTTTGTATTTTATTCGTCGTTGTTAGTTATATGACAACTGAATTTAATAATATGAATAAATTGTAAATATGATATCTAAAAAAAAAAATTGTAAATATGATATTTATAGATTACATATTAGGTTGAAATCTTTAATGTGAAAAGATAATTTTTTCATTTTTTGAATAATTTAAATCCTAAATCATTATTAGTTGTTTTTTAAAAAATACAAATAATAAAAACTTGTATACTATTTATCTTCTAGTTCAATAGAATCACCCGATCACACTCATATCTCTTCCATCTAATCAAAGTGGATAAATAAAACATGTTAGCAAAAAAAAAATTATATAAAATTAACCGTTATAGTCTTATAAAATAAATCAATATATTTACTAGGAAATGAAAAATTGTTGTGAAATTGATCTAAAAATTGTAATTGTACAAAATCAAAACTATGCATTGGAATTTTTTTCATCATCCCTAATCGCCCGAACAATAGTATTTTGGAAAATTGAATTATTATTTTGTTGTCACTGACAATGCGTGCAATATTGCTTCTTATTTGTAACGAATGAAAAGTATTTAATTGAGTAAAATTTTATTTTAACTAATTTTGGACGAATTGTACAAAGTTGGCTTTAATTGAGGTATGAACGTAATCAAAATTAAGTTAATTTGATGACTTGATTAAGGTACCTAAATCACAAAAAATTTGTCCTAATCATAAAATTAATTAATATAAACTACAAAGGTTTATAAAAAAATTTAATAAATGTAAACAATTTATAAAGATATAATACCTTCTCATCCAATAGGACCATCAGGCGATGCGAGAAAGTCGTACTTTGATTTTCAATCATTTTGCTTGAATCTAATTCTCTGATTAAAATCAAATCTGCGTGTAAAAACAAAATTTAGTAAACAAAACATAAACATATAATCGTTAAGTATTCCAATTAAACACAATGTAAGCAATAATCACAAATATACATTTAAACATGGATTTTAAAAATTAAGCTAAGAATTACCTAGCCATTAATGACTAAAACTGACACAAAATTCGCTTGATTTGGTTTTGTATTGATACAAAATTTTGTTGGTGTTGTAGGATGCGTCAATTTATAATGGTATGCATCACAAATTTTAATTTATTTATTATTAAGGAATAATTTTTATTTCTTATCATAAACACTATCAGATTTATCTTAGATATATAAATCCTATATCTAAAGATGATTTTTTAAAAATAATTTTTAGTTTTTTAAATAAATTAAATCCTAATAAATCACTATTCGTTGTTTTAATTATGTGGCAAAATTCTTAAATCTCATTCGCCACTTTTTCTTAGGTGGCGAGTGAATTTATTAATTCTAAAATAAAATACAAATCTAATTTTTAATTGGTCGAAATAATACCTTTGCTTATGTGGCGCGCCGAATGCTCTAGAAAAATGCCTACTTTAGTTATATATATATATATATATATATATATATATATATATATATATATATATATATATATATATATATATTAGATTTTGCTTAGACATGCAAGTTTGACACGTGCACATGCCAACCTTTTGAAAATTTTGGCCCAGCTCAACACGACATATAACTCGTGGCCCAGGCCAAGGCACGGGCCTAGCTAACCCCAAAGCACGTGGGTTCGGCACTACCCAAAGCCATCTTTACTCTCAACTCTCAAAGGGTCAAGGTGGCAATCGGATTATTTAAATCAATTTTAATTCGAGCCATGTATCAATTATGTGGAGATTGGACTTCTTGTAAAAAAGTTTGTGATTGTTCAGGTACAACTCTTCTTGTCATTTAACCACTATACACTATAGAGATACTTTAACAAAACACATACTTCCTCTGTTTCTTTTTAGTTGACACGTTTCTTTAGTCACGTTTGTCAATCACAAATTCAACCATTAATATCTTTAATTTTGGATAATCAAAAATTATAAAAAGTTGATATTTAGAAAATACTAGAGGTGATCATTGGGCAGGTCGGGCCGGGCCGAAGCTAAAAAATTATGCCCACTTCACAGGCCGGGTCAAGCTTCGGGCTGGAATTTTTGTGCCCAAACCCGCCCAAAATGGTCGGGTCGTGCAGGCTTTTCGGGCCGAGCCTAAAAAATAAACTAAATATGCATAAAAACGCATTCCCAAACCCGCCCAAAAAAAAAAATTGGGCCGAGCCGGGCCCAGCCCAATTTCGGGCCAAAAAAATCTAGCCAAAATTGGGTTGGACCAACGGGCCGGGCTAACTTTGATCACCTCTAGAAAATACATATCGTGACGATTCTAACAAGATCCCACATCACTATATTTTTCATTACATGCATATAAATCACAAAACACGGTCAAAGGGAGGTGTGTGAATAGTACTAAAGTCAAAACATGTCAACTAATAAAAAACGGAGGTAGTATATCATAAAGTTAATTAGAGAGTCAGGTCAAGCAAGATTCAAGTAATTTAATCCAATAGATTGATGAGCACTTTTTAGGCCATGTCTATGAGTCGAACCAAAATTAAGGTTAAATGCACAAAAAAATCAAGTTTTTCAAGCTTGCATAAGACTATTGAGCTAGGTTTGACCAAGGTTTTGGGACAAATTAAGTTTGGATGCAATTGATTATTTATAATGTATCAAGATATCATAAATACTTCTCTCACATTTTGAAGGTTCAATATACATATGTAAATGGTATGTCTAATGCATAAACAAAATTAGAAGCTTGCCATCTCTTGTTAGTTTGACGCTATGTTTCCATAGAAAATTGTTTTGTTGATGAGGATTTGTGCGATGTCACAATATAGGTCAATTCTACATCTACAATCAATTGCATCAAATTTTATTTGATTTCAACACTACAATATCAAAAGAACCCCACGGAAGGTTGTATCAAATAGTATTATAGAAGAGGGTTTTTATCAACGTCAAAGATGATCGTAGTTTAACGCGTGATAAATTAACATTACTTTTTTTTTTTTAAAATATCTTTAATACATTGTAATTAAAATTAATGATTTATTTGAACCAAATAATTGTGAGATACAATCCTTATCATTAGATCAAGTATTACTTGAATAAAACATATTCATTTTTTTTTTTAGGAAAAAACATATTCATACTTGTACAGCTTCGAATTTATTAGAACTCGATTTCTGTATAAGTCAGTTATCCCCCCTCACACACGCACACGCATTTTTTTTTCCAAAAAAACGACAATTTCATCAATTTGTGGAGAGAAAAAGAAGTAGAGTGATAAGTGACCATTTTCTGGAAAAGTCTAGAAAAAATACTTTACTAAAAAAAAAAAAAAAAAAAAAAAAAGACACATCATCACTCACCCAAGTAACCAATCTTCCATTTCCACACACTCAAACAGTCTACTTATCCACTCTCTCACCAACCTTTTTCCTCACACCATTCATATAATCTCACTTCAATTTCACACCCAGAAATTCGAAGAGAGAGAAACTCAACATCAACAACAATGGCGTCTGCAGCTTCTTCCTCTGCAATTCTCTCTTCTAATCCTAGGGTTTTCGCCGCTAAATCTCATGCTCCTATGGCGGCTGCTTCCGTTTCTTCTCTCCCTAAACCTTTCTCTCAAACCCTAACTCTTTCTTCCACCTTCAATGGCAAATCCTTCCAACCTCCTCGCTCTTTGTCTTCTCGCCGCGCTCAATCTTCCAGACGCAGCTTCGTCGTCCGCGCTTCTGTAAGTCCTTTCCCTTTCAATTCATTCATTCATTCTTCATTTTTCAATTAATTTTGCTAGTTGTAATAAAATACTGTTTTTTTTGTTGTTGTCATTTTGATTGGGAAGACTGTTGGTTTGAATGGTGCTACTAATTTCTCGAATTCGCTTTGATTGACGATTAATTGTAATGTGTCGTTATTGATAGACTGTAGATTGTTGGTGAGATTGCATTGGTATTGTAAATATAGCCTCATTTATATCGAATTCGCTACAAATGTATAAAATGAGGTGAATTGACGACGGGTGATTTAGGAATCATGGACAGTTTGAAGCTTTTTGCAATCTTTTATTACGAAAAAGTAACGTTATAATTAAATTGTGTGGTCATTCTATTTTACTAAATGATGATTTGCAAAAGTGAGTATAACACTATAAAGTCAAGAAGTGTTACTTTTTTGTTGTAAGAAAATACATTTTGGCAAAATGTTATGGAATAAGATGGTTAATTTTGGCGACGAAATTGTGATGTGGCCTATTATATTGGGATGGAGGTAGTAATCATTGTTGTTATTCCCTTTTACGCCTTTACGCTATGATTATAGGGGTACTGACTGTTTTCTCGCAGTTATTATATGATTAAACTATCAATGTTGGCTATAACTTGACCTTTTTTTGGTCTAATTTTTCAGGCTGAGCTTCCCTTGGTTGGAAACATTGCGCCAGACTTTGAGGCAGAGGCTGTTTTCGACCAAGAATTCATTAATGTAATTTTCACATAGACAAAATCTCTATTACAAAAGTTGCTTACATTACGAACATGCTTCACCCATCCGAATTTGGATTACTTTGTTTTATAAGTATTAGTTCCAGTCAGAAAAGTAGGAGAGGGTTGGAATCTAATTGTTTTAACTTTCTTGCAGGTTAAACTTTCTGATTACAGGGGAAAGAAATATGTAATTTTGTTTTTCTATCCTTTGGACTTTACATTTGTTTGCCCTACTGGTTAGTACTCTGAATCTAAAAGGCTAGTTGATGTTTGTAATTTCCAAATTAGTTCCTTACACCCTTTGCTTCCCTTTTCGTTTTTGTAGAAATCACTGCTTTCAGTGACCGTCATGCAGAGTTTGAGAAGTTGAACACCGAAATACTAGGTGTATCCGTTGACAGTGTTGTAAGTATCTATTGTCTTTCTCTCTCTCTTTTATTTTTTTTTCATTTGCTACCCTCTTGTGCTGAGTTACAGCTGTTTACTGGTTGTGGCTTGCTTACATTGTTCTCATCTGTAATGCATTTTGTGCTCAGCTAACAAATCCAAATTTAGTAGGAAACTATATTACTTTCTCTGATTCTCTTCACCGTCTCTCCTGCGGTTCTACCCTCTTACTTATTGATTGTGCTTTTTACATGCAGCTTACACTTTTTTATTCTGTTAATTTTTAGTTGCCAAATATGTCTTTGTTGATGATTGGGGACCAAAAAAGTATGAAAAAGGGGGACAGGGGGGCACATGACATTCCTTTTTTGCAAGAAATAAATGGGGGATACGTCAATGTGGTAGTCATGGAGGACAAATGAACAACCTTACTTACATGGATGATGTTTCTTTGAAGATTTCTGTTACTAGTTATGTTCTGTTACTAGTTATGATTGTAACAGAAAATCTGTTTTACTATAATAGTGTAATGCATAGAACAAAACAAAAAACAAAATTATTGAAAGAGGTAGGAAGACCTGGGAGGGTGGAGAGGCAGGAGACTACAAATTGATGTTAGTTTCTATTGAATTTGAAACCCCTCTACACCAAACAACTATGAAAAGACTAGTGTTTCAAATAAAATTTTTGCTACTGAAGAACAAATGTGGGCAAAATAAGCAAGTTCTACTTTAGGTTTTTCCCATGAAGGCTCTTCGCTTTATTTGCAGACAGGAATTTAAGTTTTGTCAAATGATGGTCTAGAGCCCGAATTATTTCTATCTGGTGATTTGGTTAAGGGTTATGGGAGGATAACATGTAATTTGTATTATTCATTATTTGGATGGCAGTGGGGCTTTGGTTAAGCAATTATTTTAAGCCATACTTTCTTAATCAACTCAACTAAATCTGACCGCCTTATCAGATGCATAATTATACATACTTAGGTAAAGGGAATGTGAATTAACGCTCACACTGTCCTTTTGCACTTCATCTGTGAATCAGGACTGCGAAAAGATAGTCTGGAGTGTCTATAACCTTTGGTATGCATAAGTGGACCAAGCCTATTGGAGTATCGGATGACTTTTTGGGAGTCAATGGAGGATATCCTCTAGGAAAAATTTCTTAGTAACAAAGCATAAATTACAATGAACTTGAGAAAAAGCATGTGGACCAATTGCCTTGAAGGAACACCCAGGAATCACATCATTAATTTGGAATATGGCACACTTTCAGATTGTCTTCCTGAATAATCCTTTTGCTATCTAAATTATAGTTGAGTTGAGCTAAATTCTTCACTGTTTTGGTGTGCAACAGCACAGCATTATGTGCTGTAGTCAATATATCTGGCAACTTGAACATTTCCCAATTATTTACTTCTCTTGCTAGTAGGGTCATTGTCAATGGGAGGTAGGGATGAGGCTGATGCAATTATTTACTTCTGTATGTGAGCTGCATTGCATTATTATTATTATTATTATTATTATTTTTTTTTTTTTTTGGGCAGAGCAGTGCCTTGCTGCCTAATTTTGGAATGTTGGGGGTCTTGAGGCTTTATATTGAAGCAAATTTCTTAGAAAATTCATGGCATAAGGTGGATATTGTTGTTGCGTTTTTTCCAGATAGCCTGATTTTTTAAAAAATCATTTCACAGCCTGATTTTGCCCTTGAATGTTAACCCTGCAATTAATTTGACTTCATCTCTTGCCTTTTCTATTGAGATTAGATATTACTTAATTCAGAATAGTTTTCATTTAACTTATATTATTGAAGGACAACATTATAATTCATGGAACATGCATCAAACCGTATTCCATGAACCATACCTAAGCCATTACACCAAAACTACTAATTAAAAGTAAAGGCGATATTAAGTGCCGACCAATTTATTCACAAGGTTTATGTACACATTTCCATGTCTGATATCCTTTCCGAGTAGTATGTTTTGATTGTAACATTTTTAGCACTTTCCTCGATTCTGTATTAGTTTATCCATGTAATGGTTGATATAATTGTTTATTGTGCAGTTCTCACATCTCGCATGGGTCCAAACAGATAGGAAGTCTGGTGGTTTGGGTGATTTGAATTATCCCTTGGTTTCTGATGTCACCAAGTCTATCTCAAAGGCTTTCAATGTTCTGATCCCAGACCAGGTATGCATGAATCACTTTTACTGTTGGAATGGTAACACTCAGCTTCTCGGTTTTCTGGCTTCAACCAGTTGATAATGTGTTTGGTAGTCTTTCACAATTTCACACTTCTGCCAAACTGTTTAACTAGTATTAGTAGAGTCTGTGGCTCTTTTGCAGTCTTCTCTTTTGGGTAAAACCAACGTTCCCTGAAATTCATGAGGAGTGGATGTAATAAGTACATGTGTTCAGCAGCCTCAATCACTGATGGATGTTAATTAAAATTTTAATCTTTGGCCTCCTAATGCATAAATATGCAGTTATAGTTGTAATATTTCTGTTTATTTGATTCATCTTTTGTACAAATTTACCAGGGAATTGCATTGAGAGGATTGTTCATCATTGACAAGGAAGGAGTCATTCAACATTCAACCATCAACAACCTTGCTATTGGTCGTAGTGTTGATGAGACTCTGAGAACACTCCAGGTATATGGATCTCAAATTGCCATCCCGTACTTATCCTTTCACTAAATTGGAGAAATGTTGAGTAGTGTTGTGATTCATCTCTTTCAAACTGGTTTTGCAGGCATTGCAGTATGTGCAAGAGAACCCTGATGAAGTCTGCCCTGCAGGGTGGAAGCCTGGGGAGAAATCAATGAAGCCAGACCCCAAGCTTAGCAAGGAGTACTTTGCTGCCATTTAAGGGACACGATTGACTCTGCATGACTGTCTCACATAGGAAATCCTGAATTTTTGTTTTCTGTATCATGATCTGTAATCTTTTGCGAAATTTGAGCTGATTCTAGGGAATAAATGTCAACAGTTTATCTATGTATCACTTTTATAGCAGATCCAATTTTAATGGTTTAAACTATTGTCATTGAGCTATTTGGATTGTGTGCTTGGTTGTAGCTAGCAGTACAACTGAAAATTGTTTATTAGAAGCAATGCAAATTGCTCAATTTTGAGCATCGTTTTTGTATGCATATCAACCTCTCCTTAGTTATCGTGATTTCAAAACTCGTAGTAATTTATTATGCTGTCAAAGCGTCTTTTAAATAGGATTCCACCTATTCTGATACATTACGGTAGTAATCTTGTAATCAGATCCACTTGAGGAAATTGGAGTGGGAATAATGATTTGAATTATTTTACATAATTGCAATGTACTTGTTTCGTTCAAGATTTTTATAGCCGGAGCGGTAAAAACTACGGAGTATCTGATTTCCTTCTGTACAACTCCATCAATGCTATTTTTCATACAAGTATTAATCTCTTGCAATTTGCCTCTAGGCCCTCTACTGTGTTAAAGTAATGCTAAAAAATTGTGTGATAAGACTGATAATGCTCATTTGTTATTAGCACACCTAAAGGTATTACTAAGGTGTCAAAACCACACCCGATCCGATTCAATCCGAAACCGATCTAAAAATATCCGATTCAGATTTGAACTCGCATGGACACAATATTTTAGCACGACTCAACTTTAAAAATTGACCCGACCCAACCCGACCTCATTAGACTCGATCCGATCATCCGAATTGACACCTCTAGGTATTAGTGGGTGTTAATGGGTTAGTGGGCTTATCGACATTCTAATCACATACTACTACATCAAGGCCTTTTACTCTGAATCCTTATTGTAGCCTCAAAATCCAATAAAATGCAGTATTTCTACTCTGTTAGTTTTGATGGAAACCATTTTCTAGAAAATGATTTCCTATTCTCCACTCTGTTTGTAAAGGGAAGAGAAATAGAAAATAGTTTTTCTAATAGTAGAAAACATTTTCCATTTGAAAATGAAGTAATACCACATTTTTTTCTCATTAGTCTTAATATTGCTTTCCTCTCCTCTCATCCATTTTCTTCATTCCACTCCTATATTAAGTTCGTGTTCGTCAATATGTCCAATTGTTATACACATACGGAATAACAAATAAGGAAATGGTTGATTGGCATAAAACCTAAAATGCACTAAATTCAGATTTGTTAAGTTGGGGGCTAATAACTCAATAAGTACATACTTGTCAAAAAAAAAAAAAACCTAATAAGTACATATTAATAAGGATAAGGGTGTAAATTGGATGGGATGGATTAAACTTAGCCAAATTCAAATCCAATTTAGTATTTTTTGGACTTGGATATGGGAGTCCAAGTCCACGATCCAAATAAATTTATTTGAGCCCAAAATCAATCCACTTCGATGCATTTTTTAAAAACCATTAGTGGGAAAAAAACACAATGAAGCTCAGAAAACTTGACCAGTAGACTCTATAAAAGGAAATGATACAAGTTATACAACTAAAAATTCGGAGGAAATACCATGTACTTTGAAGAACTATTTTTAATACGAGAACATGACTACTTTTCCGAACATCAGAAAAATAATATCGAATAATCTAAGTTTGATTGGAGTAAATTTTGCACACTATCACCCATAAACTATGAATTAGTTTTGGTTGCATTGGGAAGCACAAAGGCTATATATGAGAGTCGAAAAAAATGTGGAAGCCAAGTTAATTTATACAATAAAATATCCTAGAACTATTACTTGCTAAATGGCTGAAAGCCAGAGATACAATTTAAATAAAGCTGAGATTGATAAATAGTAATCCTAAACTTACAACAAAAGTTTGCCACAATTTACATTTGATCAATCTACAACATCACATAATGATGAAGAATCAAAAAGTGGCAAAAAGTTAGGATAATTCAAAATCAAATTTGTACATTCAGAGATTGACCAAGTACCTAATAGTTTAGGCTAATTTTTTTTTGCTTCATTTTTTCATTGATTTTTGTTAAAACCATTCGTTTTACGGTCACGTATACAACCAAAATGGGGTGGTCAATTCATTTGTCTAAGTACCAAAAAACCAAAGGCCCCTTTTCCTTCCTATACTAAACATTAGATTACCCCATATCAGCATCACATATCACTGTACTTTTGTGTATGCTATAGGCCTAGGCCCCCCCAAAATTCCGAAAACCAGCAGCAGCACACATGAGCACGGTTATGTTGTGACGCCCGATTCAGAGACATAATTAGGCCTCTCCACTTCCTCCCAGATCAACTTAGACGACAATTCATCGATCTCGGGGACATACTCCTGCTAGCCCAAAGAGTACAGAATTATTATGTGGAGTAATTAGCAAGATTGCTAACTTCGATAATGCATAGGACTAATTAATTAATCAATTCTAGCCACCCTAAGTGTTGATATATTTAAGACAAAAATTTGATACATTCCTTCCCTTGATTATTATATGAAAACAGCATACTTTCGTGCATCCCCGCGACCAGACAATCGCGAGTTTAACAGTTCTAAATATGTTAATGTATTCGGTCTGTCAATCAAACTGTCTTACTATTGGTGTAATTATTGGATATTGATTAATTACCTCAAGCTTTCTAAACAATTCTTTGGCTGTTGGGGCTGACACAATGATCCCACGAGAAGTTGGAGAGATAAAGCCTTCATCAACGGCCTTATCGATAAAAGATAATAAGCAATTGTAGTACCCATCCACATTCAACAGACCCACCTGTATTATAAAAACAACTAATTGCACAACTTCAATGAAAAGATACTAACCATGCTTTTCAATTATATTCTTATTAAGATCAATGTTGTCACGACATACATCAATCAATAAAAATGTTTTTAATATGTCGTGAGAGATGGAGGAGTTCTTAGATCACACGCAATTGAAAATTCGTCGAAAAAAATCTGATTCCCTAAGGGAGATACCCTCAGGAAACCTCTCAATAATGATGCACCATGACTATGTAACAGCATAAAATCTTCTTAGCATGTTTCCATGTGAACTCACCCAAAGAATCACATGCAATTTCCATTATCTATCCTCATCAAATCTCCTATTTGATCAAATCTTCATTAAATCTGATATTTATTTCTATTATTAAAGCATTTATACATAATCAGTCGTATAGTCGGTAGATGTCATGGCAAAGGAAGATGTTGACTACTATGTACAAAAAATTATGACGACAGTCCACAACGAGCATTCAAAAAACAATCTCATATTAAAGCTTGGTCAAAAGGAGGAAAGGAATCATTCTTTTAACGGAAAGCCAACAATCCAACCGTCTTAATCCATTACACACTTGTTGGTTGTTTCATACTCTAGGGACATTTACACATCAAAAGCTTGATAGGTAGTTGGTCTCTCCATAACCCATGCATAAAAACATCTTCATTTTTTTTTAACTCTGGCCTACATCTTTTGGTGTCTACTAATTGTTTCTATTCGCGAAAAGAGAGGATAATTTACACACGTCGTATTTTAAATAAAAGAGCATTTCAGATAAAAGTAGGATTCATACAGGTTTTCGGTGTATTCCTAGCTGAGCGTAAGTGATGACTTCTAGAAGTTCTTCAAGAGTGCCGTATCCACCTGATCACACAGAAAGAACAAGCTAATTTAATCATCATTTAATAATCAAATCAAATATATTAAAGCAGTATGATACCATCAATCCAAGGCTTATCCACGTTAAGCTTAGTTAGACTAACACGAAAAACATACCAGGTAGTGCAATGAATGCATCAGCTTGTTTTGCCATTTCAGCCTTCCTCTGGTGCATGTTTGATACAGTTTTCACTTCTCCAACCGTTTCACCAGTTATCTGCCCAGTAAAATATTACGTTAAGAAAAGCTATTATCAATTTTTAATTACACCACAATCCAAACTAATTCCAAGTTATTTTGACAGGATCAAATTGCATGTATGTTAATTATTAACAAAACCGTATCATTCAATCAAACTATTTTTCCTTACAGTATTTTTAACGATTAAGTAATTAGTGGGTCCACTAATGCTCCTCAAAAGATAATTAGCACCGAAGAGTTTATAATAATAAAGAGAAACTCAAGTGTACGAATGTTTTGACTAACAACATGGAGATAAATACAAGCTGACTTTTGCTTTAGAGCTGATTAGAGGCAAAGAAAGCAACACATGTATGGAAAGCCAAGGATGTCGCCTTTATTATTCCAGACGACGATGACTAGCCTACGTAAGCAGAACAACTTAAAGAATATCCCTTTATTATAAAACACTAATCTAACCACCCTATAATGAGAATGAGATTATTACCTCTTTAGAAACAAGGCTCTTTGGAATGACCCTGCAAGTTAAAAACAACCACCAAAAGCAAAAAGTAAGTTAACTGATTTGTTGGCACGTCAAACTTCTAAACGGAATCATTATGATCTAATTAGCTTTAATTAATATTCAACAAAGATGTTCAAACATTCAAATAGCATACACGTCAAAGCATTTGAGTGCATTTGATTGATCTTTACAATAAGATAGTAGATAAATATAGATTAGCTTAGACCACAAAGTTAATAACAGAAACTACAAGGCACTATTGTTTAAAGTAAACAAGAAAAGAAGCCATCGAAAATTTATCAATAACCCGCTCACCATTTCCTTAAACAAAATACATCTAATGTTTAAAATGACAGATTTAGACATCAATGAAAGGTATTTTTATTGAACTTATGGTCATGAAAATAAATACAAGTCATGATAACCTCATCTCAGAGATGCGCAAAATCATTTAATCTCGAGTTTTATTGTTCTACATAGTCATAATAATAATAAACTTCCCCTTATGGATTTATAAACCCTCAAAGGTAAACTTCTCATTGATTGATTTATAGGTAAAAGAATGGTGCAAAGGCATGCTGGCATGTAGCTTAGGTTAGGTACTTTGAACTAAAAGATAAAGAAATTTTACTAGTTTTTTTTTTTTTTGAAAGAAATTTTACTAGCTACTAGGATGAGGTTAACACAGTGGCAAAATAAAAAAAATCCAAGAAAGGGGGGGGGGGGGGTTATGTCATAAGAATCAAAGCTTAAAAATAATATGACAAGTGTATCTGCAGAGTGAAAAGTTAATCCTTCTACCAAACCTTTTCATTTCAAAAAAATATGTATGGGAGTAGGGAGAGT